TTAATCCACCATTTATACAACTAGGCCCATGGGTAAAATGTTTAGTAATCCATGGGTAAAATGTTTAGTAATCCAACGTGATGAGCAGGGTTTTCATTAGAATCCATAAACTGCTGAAATCTATTTTGAACTTTGGACAGACTAATTTTGTCAAATTGCATTGTAATGCTTTATGGCCCTTTTATGATTCGCATCTGGTTATTTTTGAGAATAGCCACCTACTTCCAAATTTCATGAAACCTCTCAGTGACGATATCTTGGTTTGTTGCTGCTGAGGCAAATCCTGGTCATGCAACTTCAGGCATAATAAAAATAAAAATGATCTATCATCACACGATAAACTTTAATTCATTTGAATTTAATTTCTCTGTAGTCTCGTTTTTACCCAACCGAAGATGTTCCTAAAAAATTGGCTCAYCGTAAGAAGCCAGGCAAGACCAAACTCAGACAGAACATTGTCCCGGGTACTGTTCTTATTCTGCTTGCTGGTAACCATCGTGGCAAGGTAGGCAAAAAAAATATTGTATAGATATYGATGGAACATTGTTCTTTTCTATCACACATGGAAGATTTCACATCTTTTACATATCAAGATGTAATTGTAAATACAGTTTTGCCTTAATTTAAAAATAAAACTTCAACATATTATCAAAACTAGCGTTGATCAAGAAAGGGTCTTGTGTAGCAAGCATTCAAAATTCTAATAATTTATCTGTCTTTAACAGAGAGTGATCTTCTTGAAGCAGCTTGAGTCTGGTCTTCTTCTTGTCACTGGTATGTAGAACGATACAGAACTTTTTATTTTCTGGTACTTTATTCAAAACTAGAAATAATACAAAATTTTGTTCCTAACTCTTTTGTCTCTTATTGTGTAAAGAATGTTATTCAATAGTATTATCAGTATTACAATAGTTCTTTCACAGATTTAGTACACTCACTCTATAATGAGCAAAATGGAAATCAATCTTATATTTCCCTGTTCATTTGTTTGTTCGTTCAGTCATTCAATTTTTCAAATTGTCGACAGGACCCTACAAAGTAAATGGTGTTCCTCTTAGAAGAGTAGCGCAAAGTTATGTCATAGCAACTGGAACGACGCTTGATGTTAGTAAGGTTAAAGTACCTGCACATCTTGATGATGAATACTTCAAGAGAGAACCCAAGAAGAAGAAGAGAACTGAGGACATGTTTGAAGACACACCTGAGGTTTGTACTTCTTTCCAATGGAAATAAAACAGGAATCTGTCTTGATAATGCACACATGCAGCTATACAACTTTTTGGGGAAATATTGGTTGACATTGCCTCACCCCAAAGATATATTAAAGGCCCAGTGTGCACCATTATGCTTTGCGAGCCTCTGTTATTGTTATGATTTACACCAAAATACTTCTAGTATCCAAATATCACCATAAAACGAAGTACGATGGTTGAAAACTCTTATATTATCGTTTAAAGTGCTTAGAAAAGTRAGATGGTAAAAGATTCGAAACGCACAGTACAATTTATAGACTTTCGGTAAACTGAAAATGGTCGACRAGGGCCCCAAAGCATAATGTTTGAGCAAAATGATGTACATTCGAACAACTCGAAATTTTAGGTTAAGATTTTATTGAAACTTCGTCAGTATATCAATTTATGTTATTAAGAAATGATTCTGAAAATTTTATGAAGAAGAAAAATGAAGGTGTTTTTATTTTGCATTGTTTATCCAAATGGCTTCGCTTTTTGGCAAATTAATTTATCAACAAGAATTATCGATAATCAATGTTACTTCT